CCCCCTCTCTCTCTCTCTCTCCCTCTCTCTCTCTCTCTCTCTCTCTCTCGTTTCTTCTCACTCGGTCTCTATCTACTTCGCTTCATCTGTCTCCCTTCCACGATCTTTCTGCTTTCGCGTTCTGTTCTCCTCGTTATGCTGGCCTCGTCACTACCTTTCCACCAATCGAGTCACCTACGCCACGCTTACGTGACGACGTAAATTCTCACGCGCACGTGTTCGAACTACCCCACCACGTACAAGTGATCTGGTCCGGCAGCTGCACGCGTTTCTTGACCTCCAAGGCTAATGCGTCTTGTTCAAGCGGTGAACCAATGACACTTTACGCGTACTATAATTTTTATACATATAATTTTCAAAGAATACGGAGAATATTATTTTGAAGATATGATGAACTGTGTAATTAGTTATTTAAAAGTATAAAAAAGTTTTTACATTATATTATTGACAATTATAGTCAATATTTGTCTGTTTCACATGAACTAATTTAAAAAAATTTCCGTTTTATTTCAATTCTGAGTAAAAATTAAAGGAAAATTGATTGATTTTTATATATTTTATTATACAATTAAGAGTTATATATATTTTATTCACAATTAAGAGTATATTAAATGGGTGCATTATAGGAAATGTAAATATTTTGCATCTCAATAATTTTGAATTGATCATCTAAAATTCTTAAGAAATTGTCTCATGTATTATCATGTATTATCTATCATAAATAAGTACTGAATTTCTACGAAGGTCTTATAAGTCCTTGATAATAAAATGACTTTAAAAAAAATTCTATAAAATTTTAATAATTATTTTACGAAGGTTTTTTTTAACAAATAACATATAACGAACAGATTTTATAAATAATTTAAAAAGTTTTTAAATTTGCATTAAGATTTTTTTGTTTAAAAATAAGGTATATTAAACCGTATATAGAATATCTAATATTTTAAATGCTATTTTTCTTTAAAATGAAATTGTTAATGTTATAAATGTGAAGTGTATTATTATATTCTAAATCAAGTACATTTTACTTATAATTTATAAAATTCCGAAAATTAATTTCTCGATGAAATAAGCTTTAGCAAGTAGATAAATTTGAAGACTTTGACAATTGCTGTTATAACAATTGTAAAAAAACATTTCTTTGTGTTTATCTACATAATATTGACGAATATAATATTGAAAATATATAAAAATCAATCAATTAATTTTCCTTTAATTTTTACACTCAAAATTGAAATAAAATGGACATTTTTTTTAATATAATATTAGGTATTAAACTTAATTCCTGCCGTTTTTCGTCTCTAAAATTAATTTGTTTCGAAGGGAAGATGAATGAATACCTTAATCAAAGTAATTTCCTCCATTTTCTACTTTATTATTAATTAATAATACTTTATTAATAATACTTTGATTAAGGTATTTCCCTTCGAAACAAATCAATTTTGGAGATGAAAAACGGCAGGAATTAAGTTTAACACCTAATAGATTGTTGTATTACTATAGTTCGCCGAATAGGTTGGATTTTCTGTTAATAATCACACGTAATTTGAAATTGTTTAATATCTCGATATTTTCGTTAAAAGAAAAATTGACTACAAATTGTGGCCAACAAATTGACAATTACTATATCATAAGGTTTTCTATTTATAATTAAAATTGCAGAATATAATGACGTATATTATAGAATAACGTTCGAAATTCGTAAAATAAATATAACTGTTATCTATTACGAACATCTATGTATCTTTCATTGATTACACAATTAACCATAAAGAACTGTATACAAATAGACAAGAGTATAAAAAAATTTTTTTAAGAGTATAAATAAATTTAAGTAATGATTGATTAAAATTTATACTATTATTGTTATTATTAGGGGAATATTTTTTACAGAATTATATATATTTTTTTTATAGAATTATATAAACTGAAGTTTTTCATAAGCAAAGAGCAAGTGAGGGAAAGGTGCAATTAGATTCGTGCAACATCGGTAATGTGGGCAATGGTGGTAACTGGTAACGTTGAATAATGGATGGAACACTGAAGGGTAACTACAGAAGATTTATTACAGGCAGTATAGGGCTCCTTTTGACAGTCAGTTTTTTGATTTATTTTACGTAAAACGATGTACGATATTTGAGCTTTCTAGACCAATTTGAATGAAATAGTTATAAATGCAATATTTTCATTATTTCGAATACAAATGAATTCTTTAACTTTCTATTCTCTGACTTTGTATTATGGGAAATTAACAATTTTCATGCGTGTCAGATTTTAAGAAAGGGTTACTTTCTTAAAATCTGACATGTATTGTGAAGATTTAAGTGCATCTCTTATTCCTGATTCAGTATGATTTATTACCAACAATTTGTCCAAATTACCTGAGTGAATCTCAGTGCTAACGATTATATCAGATTTCAAAACAGACCATTTTAATGAATTTTGATTTTGTGGCTATAGGCGAAAACAGAAATGTAGCTAAAAGTTGACAAATTAGGCGACAAAAAATATGTAAAAAATAAGGAGTAGTGTAAACATATTAAAAAAAAAAACATTAACTTATAAAGATAAAGTAGAGATTAGCATGTAGAAAATATTTCCGTTACAATTTTGTAAAAATAACATCTATACCTATTTACAACAATAGGAAATATTTTTCTACAGCATTAAAAATTAATTTCAATAAAATTAAAATGTTTATGTTTTAAATTTAATACTTCAATCTCCAGTATGTAGCCTTAATGCCGGTCAACTGTGGCTTAAGTGTCTGATAAATATTTCGTTTTGGACCAAGTTACTTTAAAACGCGTAGTATATGAGGACAACGCATATAATACAAGCGCGCTAATTTGAAGTCCATTAAAATGGATATATTTTGCGAGAGATAATAAATGAACAGCGTGTTTTATACGCGTTGCGTTTGCGCACGTATGTGAAAATGTTTATTTTACGCACTTTACACGATTGTTCTGGGAAAACCAAATCGTTCATATTTTTTCGTGCTTTTGAACTTGCCGTGGTCGCTTTGAAACATTGTCATTGGTAACTTCTTTGGGGTAAAATAAAAATTAATGCTTTAAACTGTATTCAAAGCAGTTCTGCAAAAATGATTGTTCAATAACAATGCAAACGCATCACATAGAAATCCTTTCGTTATTTTACCTCTTTCTGTCTATTCTAATTTAGGGGGCTTATTAGCGTTTTCAGAATGATTGTGTTGAAACCGAAAGTTTTTCGGCTCTCAATCATATATCTGAAATAAATTAATTTAATATAATAATATATAAAAAATTATTTGAAACATCCAACTTTGATTGTTCTTGGCTTTCTTTATTGTATTCACACATACGGTCATGCTTAATGCACTGAATGCGAGAAGAATAATCGATTGCGATTTGTCTATTCCTTATGGCTTAAGGCTTAAAAATCTATTGTAGATCCGAGATAAATGGTTATAGATAGATTGTCCTTGAATTCGTTTTTCAGGTAACGTTTCTGAAAAGTTTGTGGCATTTTTCTGTGTGACAGTATTATAAAACTCATAATTTTTTTTTTGACATTTTCAGATTTTAAGGACTTCCTGCTAATTTTTCATCTTGTATCGTTGGGAAAAATCTCGATAATGGTAAGTTTTGACGGCATTGCTTTACAGAAAATTCGCTTTAATTTGAATAATGAATCGTCATATGAGTTATATCCTTTGATTTTATTAGAATTGATAATCAAAGTTATAGGCTTTCTGCAATAAATCATTATTTAAAATTAAGTTTTAAGTCGTAATAAATTGACCAATCACAGTCAAATGAGAAGAATAATCGACTATGATTAGTCAATTTCTTACGGCTTAAGACTTAAAGATAATGGCTTATTGTAGAAAGTCCATTAAATTTGAAGATATTAATATTTTATATTCTATAGACGTATTTCTCATTTGTTAGGTTTTTTAAATCAATATTTAGAGCATTTCGAATTTTTGCAATTAATAACACTTGACATGTCGAAAAGGCAAAGCATTAACGCGGTATTATTTTATGGCACAGAGCGTCGACTGTGACGATACAAGTAATTAATAGCACCACTCTCGACGAGAAAGTCAAACGAAGCCGTAAGATCATGACATTCTGCGATTCATAACAACGAGGACTAATTTCTTAAAACATCTCTCTGTATATTAGGCTTCCGTTTCCTTGCCAGTGCCCAGCAAAAGCTTCGTCTGTTTTAATACCGTCTAATGCCTACTATGTATGTATCAAAGACTATAGAGACTCGCGTCGTATAATGCTATAGCTTGGATTTTTTAAAAAATTCAATGTCTCTCTCGATGGAGATTTGTTAAAACTGAAATCATTAGCGTCGATTATTGTAAATGTATCTACGATTATAATTATGTGATAAACATAATTATCTAACTCTTTCTTTTGCGTCAGACGAAGTAACTTATTAAGGTAACTTTGGACATTGCTTATTGCTGCGAGAAAAATTAATATTGGAATTATTACTTATTTATTAATTACTAATTTCGAGTAGATATTAAAAGCACTGAGCAACAGCTATATTTTAGTATAAAGGTGCTTTGAATATTAAATATATGTATACTAGAAAGTAGTAATTTTGAGTATTAAAAGTATTGTTTAGCGCTTTTAATACTCGAAATACGTGAGTAATTTTCAGTATTAAATTGGATTTCCGTAAGGGCTGTTGGTTGAAAGTAACAAGAAACGCACAGCTCTTCTGGGCTTTTCGTCTCTTAACAG